AGGTAGGAGGCTGGAGAGGACTTAGTGTGATGTTCTGGGAAGGTGGAATAATAGACATAACTGAGCTATGTTGCATTCAAAAATCTTCAAAAGTTTGCAGGGATCAGAAAAGAAATTGCTTATTCTTCCTCATCCCTTCCTCTCCATTTCTGTGAAGAACTGAGTAGAATAAGACAAGGCAGGCTTAGTTCAGCAACTTGAAACACGAAGTCATAATACAAGAGGGTTATCTCTGTATTCAAAGGCAAAGAGAAGAAAACTTGAATATATCTGGGAGCCGAGGGGCCAAATCATAATAATACACTCAAGATAAACTTAATACGTGGGCAGTTTTTAAAGTGCTAAAATTGGAGTCCTACAGGAAAGTGAAATTTAAAAATATAATAAATTAGATCAAAGAGCTCTTAGGGAGAAGAATCTGTTCAGACTATAGAAACATAATATGACAAAGGGGAGATATTCTAGCTTCCGATTCAGGAAACCATGATTTTAATTCTTGCCCTGACACTAGCTAGCAGTAATCTCAGATAAATCACTTTACTAACTTGGGCCTCAGTTTCCTCATGTATAACACGAAAGGATTTATTAATCTTGATTAAGTCTTGAAGAATCTTTTGTGCTTTACAATTATATAATAAGGTGGCAACACATGAATAGATTCTGTTATTAGCCATTAGAGAAATGCAAATTATAATCACAGTACCTGTCACTACACACCTGTAACAATGGGTAAAATAAAAAATAATGACAGTACCAAATGCTGTCGAGGAAGCAAAGAAATTGGATCACTTATACATCATACATCCTGGGAATATAAAATTGTATATTCACTGTGGAAAATAGTTTGGCAGTTTCTTACAACACTAAAGATGCAGTTACCAGATGACCTAGCAGTTACACTCTTGGGCATTTATGCCAGAGAAGTGGAAATGATGTTCACACAAAACCTGTATACAGATGTTTGTAATATATTTATTCCTAATAGTTCCAAACTAGAAACAACCGAGATGTCCTTCAGACAAACTGTGGTATCTCCAGACCATGGAATACTACTCAGCAATGAAGGAGATGAGCTATTGACCCCTGCAACAACTTGGCGAATTATGCTGAGTGACAAAAGGCAATCCCAAAAGTTACTGACTATATGATTCCATTTATATAACATTGTTGGATGATAGAAATAGAGAACAGAGGAATGGTTGCCTAGAGTTAGGGGCTGGGGAGGGGTGAAGGGAGAGGATGGATCAGGACCACGGGAGAGATCCTGTGGTGACAGGACTGTTCTGTATCTTGACTGGTGGTGAACATACAAACCTACACATGTGATAAAACGGCGTAGAGCTAAACGTGAACAGGATACAAGTAAAACTGCTCTGAATATAATGAATGGATGGTATCCATGTCATTATCCTGGTTGTGATATGTACTATAGTTTTCCAGGATGTTGCTGTTGAGAGCAGTTGCATAATGTGATTTCTTAGAAATGCATGTGACTCTATAATTGTCTCAAAATAAGAAGCTTAATTGAGAAAACAAAATAAATTATGTATATTGTATTTACCCTTGTATCCTCACCAGGTAGAAAAGCGTGGGGTACACAGTAGGTTCTCAATATTTATTTACTGAATAAATGGGGGGATTGCTTGTGTGCATGTATAAAATGATTCTCTCACCTGGATCACAAAAGGAGGATCTAGTCACCCCTTACATCTTGACTAAACTGTTAATTTAGGTAATTAAGCCCGGAATAATAACCTTTATCCTGCAAACTTTACCTAATCATAATGATCACTTTTGTGGTTACTTGAGACTCAGCTTGATTCTCCCATGGTGATGTTTGCTCTTACTCCCTCTTTCTAGTAAAATCCTAGAAAGGAGGATAAACTAAAATGCATTTATGATAAATTAGCTTCAAATACACAATCTCTCCATAGTTGATTTTGTTCTTGATTGTGGTAGCTTTATGATAAATCTTGAAGTCTTGTACTGTAGGTACACCAATTTTGTTCTTTTTTAAATTTGTTTTGGCTGTTTGGATTCTTTTCATTTTAAAGTGAATTTTAGAAATAGTATGTTAACTTCTAAACAGAAATTTCCTGGGATTTTTATTGTGATTTCATTCAATTTCTAGATCAATTTGGGAACAGTTGACATTTTAAGAATACATAGTCTTCTGAACCATGAACATGGTACATCTCTCCATTTATTTAGATATTCTTTAAATCTCTCAGCAGTGTTTTGGAGTTTCAGTTAATAGGCCTTGCAAATCTTTTGTCAGATTTGACCTTAAGTATTTCATATTTTGAACAGTATTTTAAAAGTTTTTTCAGTTACCAATTGCTTATTCTAAATATGTAGAAATACAACTGATTTTGGTATATTGCATATTACTTTCATTTACATTCCATTGACTAGAATTCCATTGACTAGAATTTGGTCACAGCTGCCCTCACAGCAAGTCTGGCTGGAGAATGTCACTATCTAGTTACCTTTCCAGAAAGTAGAGAAAATGGAAATTGATGAATAGCTAACTACTAACAGCTCAAATATTGACTGTGTGATGAAAATATTCAGGATTTAGAAGTCTCTTGGATTTATTTTCTTTGTAGTATAATAAATTTATTATCATGCACAAATTGCTTTCAGGAGCATTTTTTTCTAAGTTTCAACACCTTCATATGAAGTGAGTCACTCCGAAGGAACAGGTAGATTCACTAGTGAAACATAATAAATATAAAATTAAGCATGTTCAAGTATTTGCCATCTGATAAAGGTGGTATTGTTTTTTTTCAAGTTAATTTATTTTGAGAGAGAGAGAACAAATGGGGAGGGGCAGAGAGAGAGCGAGAGAGAAAATGGCAAGCGGGACCTATGCTATAAGTAAGTGCAGAACTCAGTGCAGGGCTTGAACTCACAAACCATGAGATCATGACCTGAGCTGAAATCAAGAGTTGGATGTTTAACCAACTGAGCCACCCAAGTGCCCCAATAAAGATGACATTTTGAACTGCTGAGATGTACTTGGGATTGTAATTTAATACAAAATCTTAGCAACAATGCAGACATAATTTTGAGATACCTATTAGATTGGGGAGATAGCTGGGTTAGAGATCAATATTAGGGACCATCTGTATATAAATGGAATTTAAAGCATTAGGCTGAATGAAATCACCAAAAGACAGAGTAGAACTAGAAAAGTCTGTCAACTGAGCCCAGGATATTCCTGATTTCAGAAGTTTAGCAGATGATGTAGTAACAAAAAGAGATAAGAAATAGCCTAAGAGTGGAGACCCTGGGTGGCTCAGTTGGTTGAGCTCCCAAATTCGGTTCAGGTCGTGATCTCACGGTTCATGGGTTTGAGCCCTGAGTTGGGCTCTGTGCTGACAGCTAGCTCAGGCCTGGAGCCTGGAGTCTGTCTTCAAATTCTGTGTTTCCCTCTCTCTCTGACCCTCCCTGCTCATGCTGTCTCTCTCTCTCTCTCTCTCTTCTTTCTCTCTCTCTCTCAGAAATAAGTAAAACATTTTTAAAAATAAAAAAAAAAATAGCCTATGAGTTAGGAATAAAATCAGTATGGGAAGTTAAGTGGAGAAAAATTTTCAAAAAGGAAGAAGTGATTCTTGAGCCAACTGGTAAGTCACATTAAGACAAGAACTGAGAATTGATTGCTGTTTAGCAATGTGGAAGCCATTGGTAACCTTGAACAGTATAAGGGAATTATGGAGTCAAAAGCCTGATCTAAGGGAATTCAAAAGAAAATGGGAGGAAAAGAACTCAAGAGAGCAACTAGTGTCAACTTTCAAGGAGCTTTGCTTTAAAGGATAGGCAGACAAGGTGGTAGCTGGAGAGGGCTATGTTGTTCGAAGATTTTGTTGGTGTTATTTTAAAGTTAAAGAATTTACAAAATGTGTGTATACTATTGGGAACATAGTAAAGAAAATAGGTGATATGAAAGAGAGAGGAGAATTGCGGGAACATACTTGTGAACGGTAAGAGAGAGCTGGTACATGGGTAGGGGCCCTAGAAGAATGGCCATTGGAGGAGGATTGCAAATGGGTAGGAGGGCAGGAGAACCTGGGCGCAGCTGTACGTGGCTAGATGTGCAGGCAGTTAAGCTCACATCTCGTGGCCCTTTTCAGTGTAATAGAAATTATGAACTTAGAATGAAAACAGCTTAGTTTTTATTTCATTATTATTTTCTATTTATTTATTTATTTAATCTCCACTCATGTTTGGCCACATAGGTGCAGGCTCACCGCAGGCAGTGTTAGCAATTTATCCAGGGTCAGGTTATATCAAGGGACTTTGAAGGAAGTAAGAGAAAGGCAACAGGGTGAATTGAAGCTGGCTTACAATGGAAGTGAGAACATGAGGTGGTGAGGGACAGGAAAGAGGTAGGAGGCAGCAGGCCCAGGCTGCACATTTAGAAGAGCCGAGGGGTGGGAGGGAATGGAGAGTAGGGTGTTTGGTTTGAGATCGCACAGGTTTTCAGGCATGACCAGATGAAAGCCAAGAGTGGAAGAGAAGAGAGCAAAATGCTGGCTAGCCAGGGAAGGACTGGCTGTGTGGATACTGAATTTGTGCTCAGGATTTGAACACCTTGTCTGTTATTTTCGAATTAGCTTTCATTTCTGTTGGACCCTCCAATCACGGTTGTAGTGTTCTTAGTAAGAGAATCGTGTCTCTTTTTTCATAGTTTGTGTTTCTTAGTGCTTTACGAGGTGGTCATGGTGTTAGCTTCATACCTTCTATCGTGTTTTCAATTTTAGCCATTATATTTCTAATTCCCGAGGGTTCTTGCATCTGATTACCTTTCATAGCATCCCGGGGCGGGGGAGGGGGGGTAGGGATTAGTGTTTGGTGATCTACATGATTTATAATATAAAGAATATGGTTCCTATTTCTCCATTAAGTTTGTATCTCTGCTCATATGTATAGTTTTTGTCTAAGTGAGGAAGTACATTGAGTTATCTAGTTAACTTTTAAATATCTTTTTATTTTAGGTATCAAAGAGTAAAGATGGAAAAGAACAAAGTGAAACTGTATCACCATCCGAAGATGAAGCATTCTCCTGGCCAGGTCCCAAAACAGTTATGTTGAAAAGAACATCTCAAGGCTTTGGTTTTACGTTAAGGCATTTTATTGTTTATCCCCCAGAATCTGCAATTCAGTTTTCATATAAGGTAAGAACATTAATTAAAGTAACTTAAAAACAATGATGGCAACAACAATGCAAGTCAGTTCCTGTCTCCTTGTCTTCCACTCATCTTCCCCTTGTACCTTCCTTATGAAGGCTCCATCCTTCGGGCCAAGGGCACTGTTAATGAGGTTGTTCTTGTCACATTTTGGGGAGGGCACTTTGAATTGAATTGAGGCCTGCTTTGATTTTACTAGAGTTTGTTAAACAACTATTCACATGGATATATCTTTTTTTATATTGTAGGATGAAGAAAATGGCAACAAAGGAGGTATGTTATAAAAGTTTTAATTTTTCTCTGTTTTTCTACATGTCTTTCTATTCTTTAAGTAACACTGAATGAGATGCTACCATTTTTGAACTCCAGATATATAACTCTTAGATGGGAGAGCCCTAGAAATTAAATAATTTCTCTGTAGAGTTTTATGGATTCCATTGTCTCATCACGATTTGAACATGCAGTGATTTTATTATTAATTACATATTAGTACTTATGTGGGAGAACATATATGATTCTGAGGAAAGTAATTCTGATATTTTTATTTAATTAGTAATCTTTTAAATTCAGTAATGTTTTAGGTAGGAAATGCTGTGTGGTTTATCTAGTAGATTTATTGACTCAAATATTGAAAAGTAGAGTATTTGGGGTCTTATACTTAGTCTTACTCTTGACTTAAACATTATTTTTAATAAGGTTTTTAAAAGGAGAATCAGGCTGGGAATGGGGATATTTCTTAATAATGTTCCCTTGTTTTTGTTTTAATTTTACATGAACTCTAATGAGTTAAAACTCACAGACAGTAAAATACATCCGTTAAAAAACTTTTGTTTCTAGATAATTATAAGACTTAGAAAAAAAGTTGCTAAAATAGTGCAGAAGTTTCCGTATATCCTTCATTTAGCTTCCCCTAATGTTCAACAGCTTACACATTCATGAAGAAGCCTAGGAATTTAGCACTGGTCTGATACTGTTAATTAATATTTGGATTTTACTAGTTTTTCTATCGGCGTCTTTTCTCTGATGCGGGATTCCACATGGCATTCGATTGTTGTGTCCTTTTAGTCTTCTCTAGTCTGTGACAGTGCCTCAGTCTTTCCTTGTATTTCATGGCCTCAACACTTTTGAAGAGTAGCAGTCAGTTATTTTGTACAATGCCCATCGGTTTGGCTTTGTCTGATGTTTTCTCATCATGAGTTTCAAGTTATGCCTTTTTAGCAAGAATATCATATCTGCCCTTTTCTTAAGTGTTCAGTTATATGTAAGGTGCATTTCGATAAATATGTAGCTAGTGAAACCACCATCCCAATCAAGCTCTAATACCAAAAGGAACTTTTCTATAGAATCACCATGTTTTACACCTGAAACTAATATAACATTGTATATTACTATATACTTCAATAATTAAAAAAAAGGAACTTTTCCATCATTCCATAAAGTTCCCTTATGCAGTCAGCACTCTGCTCTTTCTAGATAATCACTAATCCGCTTTCCATCACTGTAGATTAAAATTGAGTGTAAATGGAATAATACAACATGTACTTGTTTGTGTCTTTTGCTTGTTGTAATGTTTCTGAGGTTCCACTACATTGTATGTATAGGTATTAACACTGCTCTTTCATTTGTTGCTGATTAGTTTGTTTGAATACACTGCAGACTGCTTATCCACCCATTTGTTTATCCACTCACCGGTTGGATGGAATTTGTAACACCCATATCTGATTTGAGGTCTTAGAATGGTTATGCTAAAGGTTAAAGGGGAGGAAAACAATTTCTTTCAGCATTATCAAAAGTATTCTGTGAGTGTCAGGTCAGGTAGGACCCTTCATAAGTTGTCACCTTTGTGCAAGGAGGGCCACTCTTGTGTCACCATCTGTCATGCACTGGGGTTCAGGAAGAATTCCAAATGTTACTTGGCATGGGCTACACATAGGTGTTAGTGAGGAAAGGGAAGGCTTACAAAACCAGCATCAGCAAGAGGAAAGAGGGTGTGGGTCCTCTGTCTTCCCATTGTCCCGTGGATTGATGTGCTGTTCCCGGGGGCCCTATGTCACATAGCATCTAGAATAATGCTGTCTTTAAAAAAGATAGTTTGGCTTCTGTAAAGTCAAGAATGGATGGATAAAACAGGGTATATATAGTATGTTCTGAAATTACTCTGTCCTATTTCTCTGCCTTGAGAAAGTTAAAAACGAAGAAGTTTGTTCCGTATTTGTGAATACTTAAGGACAAATAATTCACATAAAAGTCAGGGATATCCTAAGTTTAGAAGCCCTGAACATCGTATAGGAACAAACGTCACTTAGTACTCAGTTCTGATGACCTGGCCAGCAGTGAATTCAGAAAGTGCATTGAGTGTAAGGAGTGACGATTGACTGAGTAGTCCGCTGCTTCCTTTGCCCCTCAGGGCTTAAGTTTGCTCTGTTCATCCCAGTTGGTGGTGGGGTCACAAGTCAGTCTGCAGAGGCCTAGTTAGTTAACGTATAGCACTCATACCATTTCAACTCAACCGATCAACCAACCATAAGACTATATTTTATAGGACTGAATGTTCTTTACTTTAATTCAACTGAATGTGACAGTTTTTATTGTACAGTTTCATTTTCTTATAAAACTTATTTGCAAGCATATTGAAATTACAAAATCTTTTTTATGTGAATTTTTTTTTTAAATGAAATAGAATCCAAGCCTCCAGGGTAATGATTCGAGTCAAAGCCTAGAATCACTGGAGAGGAAGTAATTGCCAGGATTTTATTCAGACTCCTAAGAGATCCTGTTATAATGCCAAAATTCTGTGAAACGGTTGAAAGGTTTTGTTTTAGTGTTCTTTCCTTTTGGCAATTGAGTGGAATCTCTTTTGCCACTTAATTTTCTGATTATTCTCTTTACCCAACTTTCCATTCTGGTATGTTTCTTAGAGACTACGTATGTGTATTGTCTTGTGTTTTAAAATCAGTTTTTCTTGTTGATTAGTTTTCTGTATTATGATGCAAATGATATTTACAAGAAAAGGGCCATTAACGTGGAAAAATATTTTTTGGTGATGATAGTTGTTGATAATCACTGTCTTGCTATTGTCGGGTTGTCCCTTAAATCTCTGGAGAAGAAGATCTTTATAAATCATCAAAATAAAAATAATTGGAAGTTTGTAATTACTGATATTTCTTTTCTACTTATTCCATGAGTAAAAATTCTGTCTCAGTGTGATTACAGGGCATATTTCCAGAAATGCGTTTGTCTTTTTGTTAGGGACGTAAGTAACTGTTGGATTTCTCCTTCGGCATCAAGTTGTCTGTTTAAACATGAATAGTACACAAAAAGTAACTGGAGATTTATAAATTCTCTCAGTATTTTGTGATTGCCGTTGTTTCTGACTAAACAGCTCCCTGTAGCTGATGTTGGACTTTTCTAACCAAGGCACGTTTAGTGGCAGGAAATAGAAACTTCTTCAAACCACCCCAGGAAAGATGTGTGAATTCTAAAAACCAATAGGGCATCTCCAAGTTCAGTGCCAAGAATGGTAGGGTACCCGGAGAGGCATAGACACCAGAGTTGGGACTGGGAAGCTACTAAATGGAAGGAGTAACAACCAGAAAATCTTGGCTTTGATCTTCCAAAGACCCAAACTTTGGTATTTACTGGAGGATCTAAATGACTTTCATCGTTCATTTTGATTATACCTGATTTTCTCATGAGCTGACATCTGTGTATAAGGTATAGTCCTCACTATATCTTCTTTCTTCCTCCCTCTCTCATCATAATACTTCCTAATTCCTGAGAGTGACACCTAACTGGCCCATTTCATCATTATATGCCCACTGAACAGTACCCATTATGCTTAGAGATCAAACATTTTCCCACTTAATGAAGAGGTAAATTCTGGAAAGCTGAGAAAAGTGGGTGTATTTTATGCCACTAATTTCCACTCATAGGGTGAAACCTATTCCCTCAGAGTAATATAACACTAAAAGATGGATCTGAAAATTTGTTGGAAGAGGAAATTCTTATTATGGTTAGGTCCACGGTTGGTAGTGTGGTGGTAGGTTGTAGAAACATGTTTCATTATTTCTAAAATGTAGCAGCAACACTAAGTGAGTTCCGTGGATCTCTGCTGATATCTTTGTGCATTGACTAAACCCCTTGGGATCCATTTTTTTTTTTTTTAATTTTTTTTTACAAATAGTTTATTGTCAAATTAGTTTCTACATAACACTCAGTGCTCATCCCCAAAGTGCCCTCCTCCATGCCCATCCCCCCCTCCCCCCCACATCCATCAGTCCTCAGTTTTTGTCAGCATTCAAGAGTCTCTCATGGTTTGCCTCTCTCCCTTTCCCCCACCATTTCCGCCCTTCTTCTCCCCCTTGTTCCTCCGTCAAGTTCCTCCTAATCCTCCTATACGTGCAAACATATGATATTTGTCCTTCTCTGCCTGACTTATTTCGCTCAGCATAACACCCTCAAGGTCCATCCATGTTGCTACACATGGCCAGATTTCATTGTTTCTCATTGCCATGTAGTATTCCATGGTATAGATAAACCACATCTTCTTGATCCATTCATCTGTTGATGGACACTTAGGCTCTTTCCATGTTTTAGCTATTGTGGAGAGTGCTGCTATGAACATTGGGGTACATGTGCTCCTATGCCTCAGCATTTCTGTATCCCTTGGGTAAATTCCTAGCAGTGCTATTGCTGGGTCATAAGGGAGTTCTATTGTTAGTTTCCTGAGGAACCTCCACACTGTTTTCCAGAGGGGCTGTACCAGTTTACATTCCCACCAGCAGTGTAGGAGGGTGCCCGTTTCTCCACATCCTCGCCAGCATCTAGAGTTCTCTGATGTGCTCATTTTAGCCACTCTGACTGGCGTGAGGTGGTATCTCAGTGTGGTTTTGATTTGTATTTCCCTGATGAGGAGGGATGCTGAGGATCGTTTCATGTGTCTGTTGGCCATCTGGATGTCCTCTTTGGAGAAGTGTCTGTTCATGTCTTCTGCCCATTTCTTCATTGGGTTGTTTGTTTTTCGGGCGTGTAGTTTGGTGAGTTCCTTATAGATTCTGGATATTAACCCTTTATCTGATATGTCATTTGCAACTATCTTTTCCCATTCCGTTGGTTGCCTATTAATTTTCTGGGTTGTTTCCTTGGCTGTGCAGAAGCTTTTAATCTTGATGAGGTCCCAACAGTTTATTTTTGCTCTTGATTCCCTTGGGATCCATTTTTAATTGTACTGATAGTTTAAACAATTTGAGTTTCTCTGGCAGGTAGGCAAATAT